CAGTTGATATGTCAACACACATAATTTTACACATATCCAACAAATGCTAATCCAATATCAATTTGCTTATACCTAATACATGCTTGAATGGGGTAGGAAGAAGTCAGACTTATCCAGTCCTACCCCATGACATCATCTTACCATCATTGGTTTGCAAGCAGTATCTCTATATAAATAATTATCTTCTACACCACACAAGTAATATATTAAAGAATTATTACAGAGTGTTAACATTCATACACCACACCCACAATGTTCCATCTAATTAATCATTAAACCTGTTCTTGCATATATCTAGATTGACACATACCTTTATATTTATGTTTAAACTCGTCAATTCTATTACTATTTTTTATGTCCACACATAAATTATTCCATAGCTTTACCCCACTTATGGAAATACAAAATCTTTTTTTGGTTGTACGTATAGCATGAATTTTTAAATTTAACTGTCCCCTTAAATTGTATCCCCCTTCCCTTTCATTAAATAGTTTTTGAATTCCACCAGGTAATAAATTGTTCCTGGCTTTATACATAAACACTGCAGTCTTATATGTAATTGAACTAGCAAAGGTATGAACATCTTGTTTCTATAAGTTGATTTTTTCATCTTTAACAAATTATTTGAAGTACTGTACTAAAAATAGTCAACTGGCTGTGCTCGACTTTCTTGATGACATTTCCCCTCTCATCCGCAAAGCTTCTTCAGTCCTCACTGACTGCTAGGGAGTCCCAGGTATTTACTGTAGCTTCTGTGAGGTCATTAACACCTTGTGGACCATAGAAACTCTCTATGGATCATTATCTATCCAACCATCATGTGGGTCACATGCATTAAAATGTGAATGCGTGTTTGCCTGGGGAGGGATGTCAGGACTGCGTTGTAAGTGGGTGATAAGTGGTTTTATAGACAATTTAGCAGAAGCAGATGCAGAACAATTCAGGATGAAGGTATCAGCTGCCTTCACCAGTGCCAACCTGGCATCCACACAAGGAAAGAAACTGTGGTACGCTATGATGTGGTGATGACACATCAATGCAGTGGACAGCAATATCAAGTGCAAATGGGAGGAGGTCAGAGGAAATAGTCTGGACTGTGTTGTATACAATGACAGAAACCTGAACATCAAAGTTTACAGGAAACCCACACACAGAGCAGTATTTACTCTTTGACTCTCACCACCCACTGGAGCACAAAATGGGAGTTAGAACCCTACACCACCAGGCTGAAAATGTGGCTAAAAGGGTAGAGGGAACAGGGAGGGGGCACAAACGCATCAAGGAAGCACTGAAAACATGTGGCTACCCAAACTGGGCCTTTGTCAAAACCACAAAAAATCAAGTAAGAACTCCTCTAAAACAGAGAAGAAAAGAACAAATCAAAACAAAACATCATTGTCATTCTGTACATCGCTGGAGTATCTGAAAGATTCAGGACAATCTAGAACAAACACCTCACCCCTTTCCATTTCAATTCCAGCAACCCACAGAGACGGAGGCTCATCCACCCTAAGGCAACACACCCAGACATAAGCAGAGTAATGTAGTATATGCAGTTCAATGCAGTGAGGACTGCCAAGACCTGGGAAAGCTAAGCAACAGCTCCACAAGTGCATGGCACTTAAGAAGCTTTTCGGATGAGTGATGAAACCTGTTCAAGAAACTCAAGCATGTCCAGTTGAATATTTTGAGCTCTTCAGGTATACCCTGACCTGGGTGAATGAGGATCTTCATAGACATATAACAATAAATATGTTGGATGCTTATTTGTTGTTTATTTAGATCCCTGTAAAGTGCCACCTTGGCCACAACTCTTCTTCCTGGGATCCATATTAAAATATAATCAACAAATGTTTACACTTACACCACGTACAGTAAATAAAACAGTTACAATATCACTGTTACTCCATGTCAAATCACATTACACACTAATAATAACTGTCTGATGCTTTATGGATACATCCAGAATATAAAATTTTCAAATGCAAAAAGTGTAACCAGTTACTATTAAGCAGAATGGTTCTGTAGAAGCCAGCACTTTTCACCTATAACATTTTTATCTCCTCTCCTTTCCAGTGGGGTGTATTTCCAGGGCACCACCATTGGCATGGCACCCATTATGAGTATGTGCACAGCTGAGCAGTCTGGAGGCATTGTCATGGTGAGTACAAAACCATCTCAGTGTGCCTCCGGTCCTCTTCCTCTGGGTAGCCTGATAGCATCAGTGTGAACATTGTTCAGACTCGGTAGACGAACAAGATGCAGACATCATTTGCAAAGAAAAGGTGTTTGCTGGAAGGACATTTACGGACAGCTCTGGCAGGAACTTCTGTTATTAACCATCATAATATTTGTGCTGGTGCTCCCTCCACATTCATGTCTTCATCATTACGACGACACTCACATGCACAAAGGAATATGTAAAACTGGACTCTCCGAAGGATTGGCGTACGGACCTGCACACCCTTGTAAGGTCATTTGAAGTCTTATAATCATTCAATCAGGTTTCCTGTGACATCTCTAAAAGGGTTGGTAGGGCACAGGCCACAGCGATTAAACAAAACCACATTAAAATTTATATGAGACAAATTTGTTTATGCCAGCTCTTCCAGACCACACTTGAATCAGAATGCTCTTTTTTTTTTTACACATAACTATGCAGCACCCCTGGTACATTAAGTTATTACACATAGTAAATTACCTGCCTGCTGGGCTCCTCTGCCTGCTGTAGTACTTGACATCCATGCCAAATTACAAAGTGGTTATCAGCTCAATGTCATTACTGTACATCACTACCCAGATGTGTATTCCCATATTAATAAGAATGTTGTCTGCTGGCTGAGGCTGTGATGAGGCTTCTCCAGATGTTTGTCTTCCCCATGTCTTGCAGATGGCAGATGGCTTGGACTGAGATTAAAACACCATCTAATCAGTTAGGTCCAGATGAAATGAACTGTTTCTCAGCACATACACTTCCATGTGTTAATCAGCCTTTAATCCTTTGTTTGCCTCATATGTTCTTACACTGTAATGTTACTTAAACTCATATTGGTCTTTCTATGAGAATGGTGAGGTTTAAACTGTGACAGCCAAAAATACCCACTTTTTACATGGTATTCTTGTCTGGGAGTCATTTTCTCGCATGGCAGGAAATTATATCAGAAAGACTAACCGAGACCAAGAAGGTCATATCAAATTCTCACCATCACAACAATGGCTCATAGCTGCTTCAAAGTAATGACTGTGGCTTCCAAGAGTCTCATCCATTTCTGTTAACTCTGATATTGCACTTTTTTTTTTTATGGGGAAGCACTCAGCTGTGAATTACACACAGAGATGCACACTGATAAACATGACAGAAACAGATGAAAGTTTTCCCATCCTTCTTGTTAAAAGGCAGGGTGCAGCTCCCCACGATGCTGCTCTGTAATCACAGCAGAAAATAGATCAGTTTGCCTGTCAACTTTGACATGTGACCTGGCCTTCAAGGGAAGCATGGGATTTTCTCATGTCCATAGCAGAAAGCATTTGAAGACATAGTGAGATGCTCAAGTACTGGATCATTACATTATTAAGGGTTTGCATACAAGCAGTAAAATGGTTAATAAATAAAATGTAAACTGCCACAAGTCAATTGTGTTTGCTCATTTTTGAGTCATAAATATACTACATTATTTTCTCAGCCACAGCCTGTCCGTCTACAAAACCAGGTGAAATTGAAACTTCACTTTCTCTTGTACCTTGTGAAAGGCAGTTGTCTCCTTTATTATTGGAGTAGTGAGTCATACAGCGGTAGGTTTTTGGAGCTTCCTGCAGCAGTTTTCTCCACTGGCACCAGGTGAGATTGGGTCTGCAAGGTTAATGGAATGGCAGATGAATTCAGGCTTCCATGAGGAGAATGATTAATCGGGGAAGGATGAGGGGTAAAGGACAGTTGCTGAACTGTTCTGAGAATGTGAACTCTAAAAATTGTCTTCTTTGAACTTAGTATATTTTCTTTTTTCTTTTTTACCTTTTTGTGAGTGGCAGTGAGCTTCACACATAGCCAGACATGTTTTTATTTTCTGTGGTTTTCTGTTTTTATTTTTTTGTTTTTTACCCCATTGTAGGACCACTCTGAAAACCCACTGGGTCCAGCCGTGACTTTGGCACATGAGCTCGGGCACAATTTTGGCATGAACCACGACACTCCAGAACGTGGCTGTGGCTGCCGGATGACTGTTGATCGTGGAGGCTGCATCATGACCCCCTCCACTGGGTGAGATTATGATGATTTGTTTTCTCATTTAAAACCATACTTATGAAAAGATTATACTGCCCAAAGTCTATGATTAAAATGTGTGAAGGATCTTGCACAAGTGTTTATTTTGCTGGACTGGTTGAGGCAGCTGTAAATTTATAGCTGCATTCTAATTCGCTGCAGTTTTGTTGGGTTTGGCATCCATCCATCCATCCATCCATTTTCCTCGGCTTATCCGGAACCGGGTCGGGGGGGCAGCAGTCTAAGCAAAGATGCCCAGACTTCCCTCTCTCCAGACACTTCCTCCAGCTCCTCCGGGGG